AACTCTTCACGAACAAATGGACGTAATGATGTTCAGGTCGAGGTGGCTTCCCAGCTTACTGCGAAATGATTGTCCAGTTTCACATAATCTGCTTGTGATTTGGGAGCCGATTCCACAGAGAAGCATATCTGGTTAAAAAGAAGTTAAACCGCAAATTTGTCCTGTATCGTGTTATAACCAGAGTAAAGTCTTACGAAGGTCGCGCCTGGAATTGTGCTACAATCGTTATGTGGGTAGATTACGATAGGCATAACCATGTATCAACTTGTACAGCAGTATTAACGTATGTCTTAGTCCTCGCAGCGAAGGCGGATCGAGATAGGGTTGTTTGCACTGCTCCTGCTAGTTTTTGGTAGACTTTGCCCAGTAAGTGTTTATTAAATGACCGGTGCAAGCTTTCTATCGCTGTTCAAATTTCTTTATCACAACAGGTTATGCTGCAATACTCCCGGAGGGGACAAGTAAGCAATTTAAAGAGTTCGACTCTTGCTGAGATAGTGTGCACCTTAAGAGATATATTAGCCACGGATTTTCTGGCTCATCTTATCTGGTACTCAATCTGTTCGGAAAGTTAGAGGAATATCTGACTCCCAGGTCGCGTGTAGACCGTTGTACACAGATTCATTCTCTGTTAAATGTGGTAGATCTTTCGGGTATCAAGTAACCGCTTCACATGATACTTGATCTTCGTGCGGAAAGCTTCATCATCCACTTGTCGCACCATGTCTCAAGGGAATGAATATCATCCTGAATGAGTGGTAGTACGTCCTGTAGATCAACTCGTCAGAACTTGTAGATAATATTTATGTACTCGGCAAATAAGAACGGCACATGTTTGGTAACCGATGTGATGTGATTTGTATAAAACTGAAAAAGTCCGGGACCAAGCACAGTTGTATTACCGCGTTGGCAATTGGACGCGGGGAAGGGCGATTGCTGTCCAAGGTGACTATTTGAGAGCGGTCGTTCAGATTTGAGGATATCCAACCGAGTAGTAGTGGGTCCTGAACCCCAAATGAAACTATCTTTCTCAGTAACCGTCTGTGTGGCACCCGATCAAATTCCTGTTACATGTCCAACCATAGAACTACGATTTCATCTTTCGAGTCATTGTAGTCTGATATGTAGTTCAAGTAGTGCAGGTGGCACATTGTGCACCATCGCTTCTCAAGGCAACCATGTTGTCTGTCAGTTCCATTGAGTTGATGAAATTCATCACACCCATTTTTGCCAATTTTTCAAATAGTCTCGCGATTATAAGAGTGTGGTGGATTGGTCTCTAACTGTCAGTCTTATGTTTTGCGCCGCTTTTGTGACGAGCGATGACAAACGAAGTGTTCCATTGATCTGAAAACTGTTTCGCTCTCAGTGCAATTGTAAACATATTCAAAAGTATTAATGGCATATCAGACCCTCCCAGTCTTATAGCGGATGGAGCGATGCCATCAGCTTCCAAAATAGAGGTCGGCTGCATAGAACTAATCGCATGGAGGATATTACAAAAAGAGATAGCAGTTCTAGCTACAGTCCCAGTCATTCTTACATCAATGTGTGTATTTATAGGGTCAGTTCTCAGGTTCATGGTGGTGACAAAATGAGCTAAATGCTTCACAGATGGCGACTGGATCTTGGAATGGGCGGTCTTCCTCGTCCACCAGTTCAGTGATCAATGACGAGCGGTTGTTAGTTCTTCGACGGAGAATTTTGGCAAGCCCTTTGGCTTTACATGTCATTCGTAGGGCTGTTTGCTCTTCATGTGTTCTCCGCATCAATTGCAAGTGCTTGACTTCAGCGATGTATCAGTGCATGTTTAAGATAATTGTAAAATCTTCTGTCTTTTTGTAACGCGCGCTCAGTTTTCTGGCTGAGTGAACGTTCGGTTACATCTTTTCGAACATGACTGATCCACTTTTCTTGTGGAGCTAGGAAGGATATGGTTATCAGAACCTGATTATAAAAGTGCTCTACTGCTGTGCAGGCATTTTTAGAGAGGAAGTAGGTAGCCCAATTAGATGATCGAATTATTTGATGGAATTTTTCCCAGTTACTCCTGTGGATGGCATAGTAAGAAAGAGAGACTTGTTTGGTCATTTTAACGGTGAACATGAAGCGTATCATTTTGTGGTCCCTACCGGGGAGGTTCTCTAAGACGTTTGTCTGTGCGTTAGCCATATCCAATGTAAATATCAAGTCTAATGTGCTAGTCGACTTAGTTAGCATAGTAACCCACTGTGTCCACCCACCAACTCTGAGAGAAGAAAGGAAAGTTCTGTGTACAGACGACGATGGCTGGGAAGACCAGTAGGTCAGAATCACTTGCAATTATCTTTTGTTTGTGTGGCAACTCCGATGCAAATTCGAAGGCTGAAATGATACGGACAATATTCGTGTTTGATTAATTCGGCGGTTTGTAGGTACGTCCACATAAAATGTCAACTGGGGCTCCTGAGACGGATAACCAGAGAGATACAGGGACATTTGCTAGTTGTGGATGTTCCGACGGTTGAGATGTAAATATGTGATGTAGATTGATCATGCACCCTTCGCCATTTCCGATAATTGGAGATCATTAGAGTAGAGTCTAATGTATCGGAAGAGCACCACATTTCGGGAACGAGGATTGCTTGCAGTTCGTTGAATTGTGCAAGCATTCTTAGGAAATACAGTTTTTTTTTGTTAATGGATTTGGCATGAAACAAACATTCCCCAAACGTACTGTGAATGGGCTCTGTTCTTCGCCTCATTGTTCTGTGAGTCAGTATAGTCGCGGATTTTTGTCTTGATAGATATGGGTGATTGCAATGGGAACGAGTCTGTTTCCCATACTTATGCGGATACGGATAGTGTGCCATCTCTGGACACCGGTATAGCTGGGCGAAAGGAGGGGGTTGAGGTCTCAAGTCTACATTGTGGTTGACTTGCCACTGACCTAATCGGGTCAGCTGGAAAAAGTGCAGAAATTACGGAATCTGATAGTTGGTTTCTGTCGGGTATGTGGGGAGTGCGAATGGCCGCAGCTCCATTTTCACATCCACTAATAAAGGATTCTGGTGTGAAGGGATGCACGTATATGAGATGGAGTACGAAGCGGCGTTACCCGCTTGACAAACTTTCCCCTATTATCATTGCATTGCTAATGACTACAGCGTAGTACGGGATGATGACTAGGAGTATCCAGTCGATATTTGCTTTTGACTTTATTCGGTTCAACATATCGATTCGCTTTGTGGTTGTAGGATGGTGACTTATACGACTTATGAGTTGCCGCGGTGCTTTTCGTAGTTGTTTGGCTTTTGTTCACGCCGATTCCTAGAGCGTTCGAGTTGTCCATACATGGTAACACATTGTCTACATCACTAGATTGTCTGCCCTTGGTGTCCTTGGGACATTGGTTTTTGTTTGTGTCAACTAACGATAACCATCATTCCCCAATGGTTAAGGCCTATCCCAGCTGGCATGTTCAATTGGTTCAACTTAGTTGTCCCACCGGTGTTGGGACTGGGGGTGTCTTCTTTGTCCAGCTGTTGTATTAGTGACTTTGTAATGTTTCCATGAACCATGGCGCTTAGGATCTCTGCCTCATGCTAAGAACAGTCAAAATCCACTTCAACGCGCCTAGTTACCTCACTATGTACGTATTCCTTTTGGATGTTTCTCTGAGAGTTCGTGACAAATCTGGCCTTTCCTTCCGACGCTAGTGATGATACTCCTCCGGTGACCCTTTGTAGAGGTGTCCTATCAGGTTTAATCAGGTTAATCACTGAACTCGGTATGTTGGGCTATGGGGAATTAACTATTCACGAATCGGTTTGCATATTCTTCACTTTAGAATCTGAAGATGATCGGGCAGCGATTCTTTGGTGCTTTCTTTTTTAATCCCTGGCTTCTGCAGTCATGTTGCAGGCTCTCAGTACTACAATTTATACTTTACCCAAACTAATTCTGTCTGGATTGATAAATTGCATTTCTCAATCTATGCATTTGTTCACGCACCTCCGATTCGGCAGATGTGGTTACTTGTTCTGCTTTTTCCACTTGAACTGGATCTGCTTTTTCTGATGGGTTGCTGAAGTATTCAAACGATGCCAAATACTCTTCAAGTGGTTCACGAATGGCCACATTTTTCATCTCAGAGTTGTGATTCTAGAAAGATGACCTTATCAGTGAGTTTTCAAATGGAAACTGCGTTTGGAGTAGAGCAGGCTGGTGGTTCTCTTGGGGTTACATCTTTTGTTTACTTTGTTCGACTGGTGTAAGAAACTCTGCCTTACACTTGTCGATTAATACTAGGCCTTGTTGGGAAAATGATAACTTGGAGATAGCGAGTGGTGAGAAGGTTACACGGGGGGGAACGCTTACCTCGATTCTTTAACACTTGACCTTAGGGATAAATGCCAAGGGAGCATTAGGCAAATGTACAGTACACGATGAAAACCTATCGGTTTTAATTTCACGCTGTTGGTTAGGTAGGAACTTGTTGCGAATCCAAGATCAGTAGGTTAGGCCTGCTGGGTGCGTCACATTGCATTAATCAATCGGATGGATGCAACCACTTCGCTTCTTGGTCCAGAAGGATAAATACGCTTACTTCTAACTTGGCGTGCTTTGGTACCTCCCGACTCTCGGGCTGGCATCCCAAGCACAAAGAACACGTTTTGTTGGAGGCACTTGTTGATATGGCAAAAAGCCAATCTCACTGACGTTTTTGTTGTAAGTTTCTTTCTTCCTTATCCTTCCCCTCCAACCACCATCTCACGCTCTAAGCATAAAACAATATTTATTGTTATATTTCATTTTTCTATACTTTTATATTCTTTATCTCGCCTTTTTCGTATATCTTCTCCTACGGCACAATTGTTGTAGTGTGTTTCTCAACTTCAGTTAACGTATAATGATGAGGACGACGCTATTAATGACGATTACGTGCAACTTTTTGAGAAGAGGGAAACCTCTCTATTTCACTCCTTTGCCCACATTACGGTGTGTTTCTTTCTACACAGCTTTTAGCCGCTTGGTCGATTGATGGACGTGCCCGATGACCATCAATCACTTGCCATTCCGCCGTCCTCGTCGACAGAAGGCAAGACGCCACAAAGGCGTTCTGCGGGACAACTGCGACGTAAGATCAGCAGCGCTACTAAAACCACTTACTCGAGACGAGTTCATTCCACTAAAGTAGTGCACACCAAACGTCTTTCTCGTGGAAGCGCTCGCGCTCGCGGAGTCACATCAAAGGTCAAAAGGAACGACCGTCGCACGAACAAGGTAACTGCCTGGGTTCAATTCACGTCTTCATAATTTTTGATTTACTTGCCTCAGCCTGAATAGGCTACTATGTTTGTTTAGTTTTTCTTGTTGATAACTTCTAAAGTCCGATATGGCAACACAGGCGGTTACTCTTCTTTCGACTATACCGATGGTAGATCGAAGAAATCTTACCTGTGCTATTCTCCTTCTGCGGTTTACTCAAGCAAGCCCTTTACTTGTGTTTTGTTTCAATGCCAGATTTTCGTACCTGTACAATCATAAGTAATTCAATCGTACGTTCCTAGCCTAAACAAGCTTGCCTTGTAATCTGTCGGCGCGGGTTCGAGCTTGCGTGGGGACAGGGCGACCCCCGCAGTATCCTTAGCTCACGTGCAACCATCGGTGGTTGCTTGACAGCGAAGCGTCCGTACTACGTGCCGACGTACTGCTCATGCCATCTTCTGCTTCTGCTCTTCTCAATCGTGCGCTCACTCCAACCTATTCCACTATGTCGTATAGTGCGTTTTACCCGCCACCTGATTGGCACCCAGCCTGACGGTTGCCTCACGTACATCACATGGCCTCCGTCGTGGAAGTTATTCTCCTCGGGTTTCATACACGTTAAAAGCCATGAAGCCACTCAGACTGGTTTTGAAATAAGAAATTCCTTTCAAAGTTGGACTTGCAAAACCCGCTGTATAGTAGGGTTGCGACACGCAACCTCTATTGAGACCTCGGTTCACTTGAGGTAGACCTCGGTCATTCCGATCACAATCCAACCAATCCACAGCGGATTCTCCAAGTCCAAATTTGAATTCCTTTCCGCTGTACAAAGCGTTGCTCGCGGATCTCAGTAGCATGGTGTTTACGACCTCAGCCGTGAACCACTAGACTCTGAGTTCCATCCCAGCTGAGACTATCTTCACCTGATGAGTCCAAACCAGGACGAAACCGCGGTCGTGGTGTGCCAGTGTTGGGAGGAGCGACACCGAAGAAATTCAAGAACAAGGGACCGAAAATAAACAATTCGATGAATTCATCGTCAAACCTTTACAATCATATGGGTACAGGAGCAATGAGCGTAACAGTGGTTCCGATCAGTTCGAAAGAATTTAGATCACGTGCCAACCGAACAGGAAAATCATACATTCTTATCATTCACAAACACGCTTACGCTGCCATAGTATGCTTGGAGTCACACTCCGTTGTTTTTGTATGCTTGCCGGTGGTCGTTCGTGATCGATAACGATGACTTCCGGTAGCTTAATAATGTGGGGCCACTGATCGCGCATTAAGACTGTGGACGACTCATCAGGATCTACTCGGTGGCCAGCGGTCAGCTAAGCTCTTTGGACTGCCGAAGCAACTCGATTTCCCTATTCAACGGCAGCGAAGCGCCGTTACGGTGTACGGCTGACACATTTTTATCCGCCGGTATTGGCGCATTTTCTGTATTTCCACACTGACACTGTGGAAAATAATGACAATTGACAGCAGTAATACCAAAAGTTACATCTTTAACCAAGTACATACGGTTACGAAAGCGGTGTTTCATTCTCCATGGGTCGATTAGTAAGCGTGATAAATATATATTTCTTCACAAGTCTGTTAACAGATAAATGTGCCCTCCGAACTTTGGTGGTAGGTAAAGGAGAATATAATGTTCGACCAGGAGAGAGAGTGAGTAAAACCTTAGAAAACTTCTTTTTCAGTTTCACACCGTTTTGAGTTTTTTTGTTTTCTTGTTTTGTTCAACATTAAAAAGTACAGGATGAAGAGATGATAGTACAGCATTGACTGCTGCTGCTGGCCCTATCCTCCAAGACTTCCAACCATTGGGAATCCGCTTCACGTAGTCCCCAGCCTGGACGACGCACCGATCCAACTGATGCTAGACACGAAGTTAGAATCTTTATACTCCTTTTCCAGGTCATCGGTTGTTCACCGCGGACCTTTTTCCATTCGCTTCCCGCAAGGCCAAATAATGTGCGACGTAGAATGCGGTGGACCGGCATGTGCAGTATGTGACCGAGCCAACGCAAGCGTTGCTGGATGTTTATGCTCTTGAGACCAGGACTGTCCGCTTCCATGATTCTGTTTCTAACTTCGCGTTACTCACTTGGTGCTGCCACCATCCGCGAGCAATCGAATGCAAGCAGCGGTTGTCGAAAATAGACAGTTCTCTCAAATCTGCCAATCGATAAGACCATGTCTCGCACCCGTACAATAGGACAGCACGAATTGTGGCATTGTACACTCAGCAGCTGAGCTTAAGACTGACATCGCGACGACGCCACAAGTCTCTCAGGTTAGTGAATGCAAGGCGAGCTTTGGCAGTTCGTTGTGAAATTTCATCGCCAATACCGTCACCAGCCGTAATGCGACTCCCGAGGTAAGCAAAGCTGTTAACGAGCTCCAGGCTGACACCCGAAATGGTGAGCGTAGGCACAGGAGCCTGCCAATCCTGGAGCAAAGCTTAGATGGAGCAAAATACAGACCATACTTAGTTGCCTCTATCGCTAAGCGGTTCAGGATGTTTTGAACAACCTGCGAGTCTTCCCCCAGCAAAGCGATGTCATCAGCATAGTCCGGGTCCACGACTCTGCTCCCGGGTACAAGCTCAACGCTGCAGCTCTGGGCTCCTTCTAGTGCGCGATGTAGGACATCTTCGATGCCAAAGTTGAACGGGAACGGCGACACAGGACAATCTTGGCGCACTCCACTGGTAACAGGAAACATAGTAGTAAGCCTACCAAAAGTTCTTACTTTGCCAGAGGTGTGACTATACAGCTCTTTCAAGAATATGACAAGCTTCTCGGGAACCCCGTTTCGTAGTAGACAGTTCCACTGTGACGACCTATCTACTGACTCAAAAGCGGCTCGGATATCCAAAAACATTACCATTGTTGGTCTTTGGTGGACATGATGATGTTCGAGAATTTGACGCAACGTGAAAATTTAGTCAATGCAACCACGACCAGAACGAAAGCCAGTCATTTCCTCACGACACAAATTCTCGCTGGTAACGTAGCAGTATGGACACAAAAAGCTTGGACGCGTCAGAGATAAGTGAGATTCCTCGGTAGCTGATGCATTCACTACGAGAGCCTTTCTTGTGGATCGGAACCACAACAGATTCTTCCCATGAGTTAGGAACCTTCTCATCGCTCCATACCTTTATGAACAGTGATAGAATTTCGGTGACAACTAAGTTCCCCCCATCTTTGAATAAGGCCGGAGGAAGACTCTCAAGGCCAGGAGCTTTGTGGCGTTTCAGAGTCTGGATTTCTCTTCGTATTTCTGCTTCAGTTGGAAGATGTATGCAGACTGACCAAGGATCACATGATGGCAGTGGATGTGTAACCGGAGGTTGTGTTAGGCAATTAAACTAGAGCAAAGTGCTGTGCCCAGCAATCCAGAGGTCTATGTAGGTTGGTGATCTTTGTACCGTCTGACTGATGGCCTGAACTTTACCTCCGGTAGATCTGATGAGATAAAACAACCTGCAGCTGTTATCTGCAGAGGCAGCAACTTCCATTTTCTTGGTCTGATTAGACCACTAGGATTCACGGTCACAGCGAAGACCCGCTTTCAGTTAACTGGAAATAGAACGGCGGAGTTCAGCGTGCTCCACACTGACGGGTATAGCTCGCCGATAGTCGAGAAATTCCGCGGACTTGGCCGAGACCCAACTTTTAGCTGTGTAACGAACAAGACCGTAACTGGATAAACCCGCTGAATACATAATCTGTTGCAATCGCGACTAATGCTGATCAAAGTCCCGAGGACGCGGAGAAGTGAGGTTCTCACGAAGCTGGTTTGATATTCCATTTGCACGGCGAGGTCTTCCAGTTTACCAGAGTTAAGTCGAGTTTGTCTAGTCCTAAGCGAACCACCGAAACGCATAGAAACCGACGCACGTACTAGCGCATGATCAGTGGCGGCATGAGGTTTCGATACGACGAGGTACGAGAATATAAAACTCTAAATTTTGACCGTGTGAAAGAGGTAAACATACCGCTGGCTAAGATCGCATGCAACTAGTGAATGGGGTCACTTAAAATCCTAAGGGTTTGAAGTTGATGCATGCGTCGAAATGCGTGTTGATAATGAAACCAGTGAGCAGTTCTTTTCTTAATTCACGTCAGCGAGAAACAAAGTTTAGCGAACGGTCAAGCAGGACATAATCTGTTTGAGGCAGTCCGAGGATTGGCACAGAGGGACAGTGTAGCCAGTGAAGGAGGATACATACAATTACAAACCTTGGGATTAAAGCACAGAAAACCGGAAGCATTTCGACTCTAAGGGCGTACAAAGCGAGCCTTCTAACTTTTTTAAATGTTTCAAGCATATATGTAGACGAGGATAACTTGTAAGATAGGAAATCCCCGAGATATTTTACGGTGGATGTGCGAGGTATGCTTTGGTCATTCACAATCGTGGGATGGGCGACATGTACAAGGGACCGCGGTCTGTTGGAACGTAGAAACCAGAACGTTACGTCATAACACTTGGAAGGGTTGAGAGAGATTGGCCGGAGGATCGACCAAGTTACTAGTTCGTCTAACCCTTGTTGAAGTTTTAACTATTCCTCGATGATTGGGTTATGCAACCCAGAACGACGTGAGTATAGTTACAGCCCATGAGGTTTGTAGGAATCGGAGTGACTCGACCTAGTCAACGAATAGAATGGGTGTAGGATGGCTTCCTGTATAACACCGCAATTGGCTGGAAGTACAGAGGACTTTGCCGCATAGCTGACTGAAGGGCGTCAATTTGCAAAGTAATCACACTCTACACATCTAGGGGTGGCACCGTTTTCAAACAGTGTTGGATATTAATGATATGTTAACGCTCCCAAAGGCGTTGGTGTAATCAAAAAGATAAGCACCGTGCGCTCTTGCATTTATTATCCAACCCTAATACAATGGAATGCATCAGATTGGAAACGACATCCGATGTAAAGCGCTCTGGTCTATAGGCAAACTCTTTGACATCATAAGTATGATCGCGTGTAAAAATGATGAGGTTCAGTAGTCTTTCCAGTACATTTAACAACATGGGCGTACATGTAAATGGCCGACATTTCCGTGACCCACTTTCAGGCACTGATGCTATTCTGTCTGGTATTCAAGTATCGGGGATGGTACCACTCGTTAAGCACCGATTCAAAATCTTTGTCAAAGGTGTCGTTAAAACATCTGCGTATTCTTTCAGAGCGACTGTTGTTAGAGCATCCTGTCTACTAGCCACTTGTTTGTCTTCTGAGCTCCTTGTAGTTACTTGTGGTATCAACTAAAGTGCGAGGCTCAGTATTGGTGAAGGAAGATTGGGAAATTGTGTTAGGTGGTGAGGAGCCGAACTCGGTATTCAGTTTATCTGCATCCTCGATGATAAGTCTTCTGAAGGGATTCTTTCCAGAGAGTTGTTCTAGTAGTCTCCACATGTCACGGCAACTGTGGTTGCTTAAAACTGTCTGGATGTACGGAGTGTTTAACCTTTTTATTTCATCACGAGAACAATTGCCAAGAACTTTCGATGAATCTCGTCTGATATCAAGAGCTTCGGCTATAGTCAGGAAGCGTCTTTTGAGTCCCTTTGAGTATGGCTTCGGGGCAACTAGCAAAACCGTAAATGAGTGCTTAACCCAGCATTGATGCCGTGTTGATTAGGTGCTCACAGGTAGAACTTTGAACACTCCTCTTTATTCCATGTTGTAAGGAAGCAGGGCAGTGCTCTGCCATGCGTTTTGATAGACGTCGGGTGGTGTATCCGATGTACCTAGCACCACGGGTGCAGGCGAACTGATATAGTACAAAGGATTCGGACTCAACCGGTGGTTTATCTTTCAAATGTTGCCTGATGAGAGATGTCTCGGCAAGGACGTGAACACGAGCAGCCGGATACTTCTTGTTTAACGCAGCAGACAGTCTTCTAGTAAGTAGCTCTAAGGTGATATTCCCTTTGAAAGGAACAGAGACCAAGACGTCTTTCTTTCTGGCTGTGAGCACAGATTCAGGGACGTCACCGACTACGGAGTGTTTCTTGACAAATGTAGTAGGGTAACCGTTGCTCTATAGCGTCCTATGGATTAAGTCTTTTTAGCGTCTCGGCTACAAATTTTTGTTGCCCGCTAGTACAAACAACGCACAAGATTTCCTTTATATTTCATAGGGACGAAGCTGATAAAATGGGTTTATTGATCAACCTAAGTTGTTTTTGTCGTACACGCTTCTTTCAAGCCACCCATCGCTACGCCGTCGTAACAGAACGTCTAAAAAGCCAGAGCACCGCCTTTCTCCCTCTCGTAAGTGAACTTCGAAGAAGGGTAAGCGCGGTTAAACTGATCCAATAGGTGTAGAAGACCGACCGTGCAATCACAAATGATAAACTTGGCGTCCATGTATCGTTAATACGGATCAAGAGACGCGATAACATGTCGGATGGGACCGCGTTCGACTTTAGCTAAGAAAAGGTCAGCAAGTATCGGTTCCAAAGGTGATCTCATCACAACGCCATCTATTTGCCGGCAGTATTGTCCATCGAACAGAAAATGTCTGTTAAAAGCTTTTACAGTCAATAACACGTTTAACACGGGCATCTAGCTTATCTTTGTATGCCTGTTCTTTAATCCTCCGCAGTTGCTCCAGCAATAAAGATGTAATCTGTCGTTTCGCAAACAAATTATCTTAATGGGGCAATACAGCTCAACACAGTAGTTCATGTAGTCTATGAGGTGCTTGCATTGAGCTGACAACTCTTTATTGGTGAAAATTGGAAAATCAATTGAACAAAGTGCTGCCTTGAGTTTTTCCATGTTATATGCTTAGCAGTTCCTTCGTTTAACCATTCTGGGTGGTCTTTTAGTCAGCACAACATGGTTGACCTTACTGTATAATTTAGGACATAGCTTTCCTATGCAATGATTGGAGTTGCAAAGAGATGCACGCTTTTGGGTAGAAAACAGTTTGAGATTGCCAGTAAAAACTAAATCTAGACGCGGCTCTCGTCTGGTGGGGAATTTCACCAAATTGGTTAAACGCACGGTGTTAAGGAAAGTTGTGTCACTCCCATTGAAGTCGCCGGCGAGACCACATATGGAATACCCTTATTTTGTTTTCAACTCCAAGGCAAGATGCTCTGCAAACTAGTGCATCTCGAACAGCGCTGTGTCCGGAGCTACATACACATTCCCAACTACGAGAGTTAGGAAACGGCTGAGAAACCTTGGTTTACACTCCAATAGGTGACAGAATACTAACACTGTTTGGTATTCCGAGTAATTTGTAACGAATTTACACCAATCTTTGTTAATCTTAGTGATGACACCTCAACCACAATGATGTTGGGGCGGTCTTTAACCATTGAGATTAGGGACTTCAATATCCAATGTCAGAATGCAACCAACTTCTAACACCACCATACTTCCTACATTCATAAATTCTTTTCGCCCCCAAACTATTTGCGAGACCATCAGTTTTTCAAAGAACTGACCGTATATTGCTGGACAGGATCAGCGGAATTTGCGCCCCGTTCACGGGGCAGCGCTTGAGTCCTACTTGCCAGCTTTCTATTTTCCCTAGCCTTTATAATTCTTTTGAAAGTGTTTTTGGTCTTGTGGCTGTACTCAACTAGAGGCGGATTTTGCACATTGTCTCGAAATTAAGTCAACTATTCAACCGAGTATGGTGACATTGGTGATTATGGAATTGATTCATTCAAACATTAATTATTATCAATTAATTAATTAATTAATTATTAATTTATTAATTTCTGAAACACAAGGACTCCGCAGTGAGTAGTGTAGACTACTATTGCGTTGCCACTTGGGATGTGTTCCTTGATTCTGACACCTAGACTCCGATCAATAGGCCCAACCTAGTTGTCTTTATATCTCCAGGTGAATTTGTATAGACAGTGGAACATGCGCTGCCACGTCGTCGGTGTCTTTTTCGTACGCATAAGGCATATCTCTCGTTATTTTGAACAACTGCAGTTCTACCGCATTGTACTGTCTTTTTATTGAAGCACTTATTCCGTTCTCCGTGGCATTCACCTTTGAAAGGTGACTGTTAGCACACGATTTCGCTCGATATTTTCACTGATTGATAAGAATACACGAAATTGCGACGTCACCTCACAAACTACGTTTTCTGATTTTGTTGTTTAGACCGATTTCCTCTGGTCGTGGCAGTCGCAAACCTGTAGTCTAGCATTTCACGCGGGTATACTGACTCAGCGATCTTAGCCATTTCGAGATGTCTTTCTGTGCATTGTTGGAGCTATTGTTTGAGCCTTATCCGTGCACCTCATTGTTTTGCACCAATACTGTCTGTAACCGCTCACCGGAGAAGGCTGTGCTTTGATCATTACGTTTAAGGTAAGGTACGATGGAACAACCGTCCACGTGGCAACGGAAAGTGAAGCTTTCAAGTGCTTAGTTATGTGTTTCTGGTCTGCCCCTTCTTCTTTACTGCGATCCGCACGACAGATTGTCCTAGTGATTTGAGTGTTCACGTGATTATGCAGGTAACCGGTGCCAGTGGCGTGTTTGAACTATCAACAGTGATTTATTACGGGATAAAAACAAGTACCTGACACATCCCGTAGGATGGTTGGGGTGAATATGATGAAATTAAAATATATCTGAATCATCTACCGAACGTCTGCCTAAATGAATACTTCGATAAATTACATCAGTGTAAAATTAAAAAAATCGAACGTAAACGTTCAGAAAGACACTGGGGTGCAGTGGTCGTTGATGTAAGGCGTGAGGAAAGTAAAATATGGTCGCTCACTTGGGTCTATTTGCTACATAAATCCTGTTGTAAAGCATGCTTGGCGTAATCCACAATGGAGGAGTTTAGATAACAAAATGCTGGGAGCTAAGAGCAACATCTGATCTTTTTCTTGAGAAGGTCGAAGGTAGGTGAGGATACAACTGAGTCTGGGATTGCGTTCCAGGGTTGGCAAACCCGAAGGGAAAAGTAATTCCGTCGACACTCTAGACGGCTATATTGTTCCTTCAATTTTAAGCAGTTACCCCTGAGCTGCGTGTTGTGGCTAAGTTTCAGCAAATAGCGGCATACGTGGTTGGGTTCATTCAGTATTTGGTACGCTAATATGAGATTGCCGCGCCACCTTCGGTAGCGTCCGCTGAAAACACCCAGCAACTTCAGCATTCGGTGTTAAGAGTGATAGTGCAGGCCCTTTACATTCTTTGTTGTTCTTCGTTGGGGTGCAGTTAATGCCCCTGGGTCGCGCTTCAACCAAGGTTGCCAAGCTTGGATAGCGTATTCAACATGCGGGCGCACGTAAGAATTGTGCATCATTGGGAAGATGGGTCAAATCTACATTCTCAGTGATTGCACGGACGCAATTTGATTGGAAAGGACGGAAGCCAATAGCACTGACTGTTCGTTTGATTCGGCCAACAATTAAAAAGAACGGTTGTTCAGCTTTGGCCTTTTTGTTCATCCATGCAAATTATAACTCTTCGGCCGATATGTACTGTTCTTTTTCCTATCCTCACTCTTGTTCACAGCACCCCCCTCCACGCCGTACTCCGAAAGCACAGCGTCAGTCAATACGGACTCGCCCTTTTCCGATTTCCGAAGCTCGTTCCATTCGTCGAGTGCGTTCCGAATACAAACGCAACGCTTCTCCCTGTAGTGGACCGGATGCAAAGCGATTCTGTTCAGCAGAGCGAATCCGTTGTCACGCGGATGCTTTGCAATCGGATGTCTGTATCACCGCGGCTGCTGCTTCCGTGACACCGTCCATTCCCAGCCAACGACTACCCAGTAATCGTGGTCATAAACCGAGCTACGCGCGGCGTCCCTACAAACCGCGATCAGCGGCTAGCCGTCGACAGGCTTCCTCTTTCAGGGCTAGATATAAATCAAATCGATCCAAGTTGAAGGCGTACAGGCATTTGAAACGCTCACCTTCCGTGGATTTGACGAACAAAGAAAGTCAGGAAGCGTTTATTAAACATTTTGCAATTCCCACGCATCTATATCGATATCTGGCCGCTCGTCACCGTCAGCAACCTCTCTATCTCGATCGCACCCTGAGTTACCTGCGTGCTCCATCCACCTTTTCCACTGGCTCTGTCCCCAATGGAACGACCTGTAAGTTTTCTCTTCATCTTTTCCTCTTCACAGAGTGCCAATCATAAGTGACCCTCTCGATTTCCCTCTTAACATTGGGGTTGTACTATTTAGACTCACTCAGGCAGCCGCCACACGCCCGGAAAAGCACTGTACGCGCGTTTCATCCTTTCGGGAATCATCAGCAGTGCGCATTCCATCGGACCCTTGGTAGGGCTCGAACCCGCAACTCGTCTGTTGCCAGTCCGTGGTTGAGACCACTAATGTGACGAATTTCTCCCATACCATTCAACTCCCCCTACTACTCTTCTGTAATCAGCACGCAGAACAAACTGCTTATAATGCCATAAGATAATTGGCGGCTTAAGTTTGTTAAGCTCGTCGCTTGGTGAGGGGGCTACCCTGTCCTCTGCACGGCAGTAACGTGTAAGTCAGTGGATAGTGAGCGGCGCTATATCACATTTAATAACTTATTCACGGTGGTCGTTGCCGTCCCCCGTAGCTCAGTGGTCTCAACCACGGACTGGCAACAGTCGAGTTGCGGTTTCGAGCCCTACCAAGGGTCCGATGGAATGCGCACTGCTGATGATTCCCGAAAGGATGAAACGCACGTACAGTGCCTTTCCGGGCGTGTGGCGGCTGTCTGATTGAGCCTAGATGTGACGAAATTCTACCTATACCATACAACTCCCCCTACTACTCTTCTGTAAACAGTACGCAGAACAAACTGCTTATAATGCCATAAGATAATTGGCGGCTTAAGTTTGTTAAGCTCGTCGCTTGGTGAGTGGGCTACACTGTCCTCTGCACGGCAGTAACGTGTAAGTCAGTGGATAGTGAGCGGCGCTATATCACATCTAGTAACTTATTCACGATGGTCGTTGCCGTCCCCCGTAGCTCAGTGGTCTCAAACACGGACTGGCAACAGTCGAGTTGCGGTTTCGAGCCCTACCAAGGGTCCGATGGAATGCGCACTGCTGATGATTCCCGAAAGGATGAAACGCACGTACAGTGCCTTTCCGGGCGTGTGGCGGCTGTCTGAGTGAGTCTAGATGTGGCGAATTTCTACCTATACCATTCAACTCCCCTACTACTCTTCTGTTGTACTATTTGTCAGAATTGAGACAGAGGCACCAGGAGCTTGGTGATGCACCGATGATAGCTGCTGCGGCTTATCTTTTTTTACTCGTTCTACGCTTTAGAGCAATTAAGCGCTGGTCTGACTTGCGTTAGGTTTTGCTACCAATTTGTCCCCGCCCGTCCTAACTGAGTCCAATGTGGAAACGATTGTACGGTTCTCAGCATAATTTTCTCTTTGCACACATCACAGTAACATAGTCACTCACGTCTCCTCTTCACCGTGATACATACCTTGGCGTATGTTTGGAACCGATCGGGAGGCCTGCTAGACTACCGGGTTACTGTATTTGTTGGACGTACGATTTTTTGCTCCATCCAGCTTTTGCGTCTACAGTGATATTTCTTCATTCCTGACGCTTCGATCCAGGAATACTATACACTTGCGTGTAGTCTCAGCTTATGCTGTTTTCGAGTACACGCGAGCACTGTGACAAACTCGTAGTACCAGACCTGAAGCGCATGGATCCCCCCCCTATATGCTTCAAGCGTCAAGTGGGGAAATATTGGAACAGTTTACGAACTACATTGGTCTAGGCGAATTCAGTGTCAGATTTCAAGGACTTCCCAGACGCTTATTTTCCTGATTATGGGCTTAGCGAACGTATCGCACATGATTAGGACATTCTATGATGGAAGCATGTTGACAATGCGCCTTAGTAACTGACGTTGTTCTGGGCGTATTTCGATGGAGCAACACAGATCTATACGTTCTCGCTCTCCATCTGCATTGTCCCGAATACTATCTGCTTGAACTCGCAGATTCTGCTAACCGATTGTTTTGTTATGACGTTATGTTGACTTTGGACTACAATTTGCTCCACTTTTATTCTAGGGTTTAAGAAATCACTGGTCATATGTTCTACTTCTACAACTAAGCGTCACCTTATCTCAGCTGACTTTTATTGATTGGGATTCGACTTGCTGCCAACGGTTCCTGTTCGGCTGCGTCCACTACGCCCGGCTCTCTGTGAGATCGCGGCCATCCAGTTGCATCTCAGTTCTGTTTATCATCTGACCTCATTGCACCGAAGTGCTTTGAGTCAAGTTGCGGAACTAATTATGCTAATAACAGCAATTACACTAATGAACAACGGAGCACATAATAAAGTCGTCCGTTGAACCAGCTAGCCGCTTCGGAAATGAATTGAGCGATTGCCTCTGTGTTTGCGCCATCTCCGTTTGGGTATCTGACGCATGATGTAGCCGATCTCGAGATTCCAACCCAGGCGAGCGGGCGACAAGCACCGACTCTGTTCAACAGTTCTGCGAGCTTCTTCATGCTACTTTGCTATCTCGATGTTTCACCAAACTTGGCGTGGATCATTCGCTCGCGGACATAAAAAGGCTAGTTACGTTCGACCACCGGTCTCTTCGTAGTTTGGCTCATATCTGGTGGGAACACCGTGTAAACAATGAACGTGTTCGACGCTTTGTTTATGGCACAGGAAGAAGAAGCGAATCGCTCAGCACCGTTGTTCCACGCACCAGGCTCCTACGGCCTGGCCACGTGTTACGCATGCCTGCCCACCGGCTCTTGCGACGTGCGTTGTTTGCGCGCTCCGGGGGTGTGCATGGAAGAAGAGGAAAGGTGGCCAAGTGATGACTTTGTCAACATTAATGAAGGCCCTTATTTCCAATTTGGTTTCGGTTGTAGCCTCCGCTTCCTGGTTGTGGGCCGAAAGACGATGAACACGTTTGACTTGATACACTTGTTGACATGGCTAGAAGTCGACCTCAATGATTTTCGTGTTGTGAGTTTCTTTGTCCCTCCCCCTCAGACCATTATCTCATTTTCTAAGCGTAATATTATTCTTTTTACGGCACAATTGCCGATTGTTAACTCTCCCGAGGCACAAGAGGGACTATTGATAAGCGTCAGATGCACTTATCTCAACTATCCGTATTGCCTTTCTCTGTGCCTATGCACCACAAAAATACTTTTTGACAAGTTTTCTCTCTGACTCATAGTTTCTTCACGACTGTTTCCTCTTCCACTTGTTTCCCACATCCCAGACTGCCCCTCCCGCCCATCAGTAGACGCCATCGTAAACCGTCTTTGGCAAGAGAAGCGTCTTTCATCCACAAACCATATGTCGGACAAGTGTTGCAAGATAGTGAATTGTGTGACGACGGATGACCGTTTGGATCCGTCGAATGAGCTATGCTCCTTCTCTGCATTTGTTTGGCCTCATGAAGTACAGCTTGTTTTTGAAGGCTTTTTTGACAGTGAAAAGGAGCTCGATTGGGTCACTGTGGAGGTGGGTTGGCTTTGTTTTTTCTCCTCTTTGATTTGTGCTGCTGTCCACATTCCTTTTTTAAGCAAACAAACCCGCAATATATCACCACGCATCCGAATGTGGGTTGTGATTGACGGTTCTCTGCTCTTGGGATTTATAGCTAACGCGCACTTCACTCCACTCCTTGGGGAATCATGCCTGCTTGTTACTCTTAGCGCTTGTGAGCCAACTATCATTGCGGCCAGTGCACTGCGTGGGGCGCTGACAGATGCACGTCTTGTGAACTCTCATTGTGTCCGGTGCACATGCTTTATCGGCTAAGTGGCTACCAGGTCTAACTATCGTTATCTGTTAGCTATCTCTTGATGTCCTACTGAAGGGATCACGAGCATTTCAATAAGAAACTTCACTTTCACAACGGTATCTATGGCGAAACACAGTTGTGTCACTGATATCGACTCTTGTATTCTAAAGCAGTTTCTGACACCTCGTCACAGATGCCGTAACATCAGACATATCGGGCGATTAGTGACAAAACGACGGTTGTTGTGTCCCTATGTCTCAATCCTTTTCTCTGAGTGTTCGAGACGCGTATGGCAGTGTAGAATGAGTGTCGTGCTGCATAAAGTTTTGTGGTTGCCTGGTCACGACAACTGTCACCACTGCCCGATCCCAAGGTTTACAGTCACTTGTTCGAAGAAACAATGTCCCAGGCTTCTAGCATCTCACCGAACCGATGTGATGCATACCGCTCTCGAATCCCTGAAAGGACTACAACGCGGTCGTCATTCCGTGCTTCGCTACTTGCGTGTCGGTTGTCTGGTTAAGTGTAGCTGTGACGGTACGCTCTTGAAGTTTTTACCCGTCGGATCAGCTGTCTGGCTGAACGTATTTCATTTTACGGAAGCTCTCCGTCGCGGTAACTATCGTCACACAATGGCACATGAGGGGACCGTATACTGTCGGCATCTCTTATCAGCTGGACAAATACAATGATAAAAGGACTCTTCTTTGGAGATTTCACTCCTGATGTTAACCGTTCTGCTAACGCCAAGCATACGAATCTTTCTGTTTCGATTAGGCCCGCTTTGACACAATCGTGGGATTCGCTTCTGTATTCGCTCGCATGACGGTACGAGCTATATGCTTGACCACATCGTCGTTCCGCGAAATCCGCTTTAACTTCCCTCGATGAATACACACCCAATCGACTACTCCTGTACAATTATGGGAATAGCTGATAGTGTTTTGTGTTTGAATACTTCCTGTGCTTGTTCTCCGACATTCACTCGCTTGTAACGGGATGAGATGTGTGGTCGTCCATTCGAACATCATGTGTACAAATTGATAAGCCATTCGGTGCAATTGAAACAAGTCAGTTACCTTGACCCTTCTCAAACTTGGTACTCGCAAGGATTACGCGTTGCGTCCTCGAGGCTCACCTCAGAACTTGTGATACTGGATCTCAGATTATTCCATGTTCTTGCGATGTAATGTTGATTGCAGTACTGTGTGTTATGCACTGTTTTGTCCCCATCTATTGCAGTGTATTTTACACATCTTGACTTCGAGTTCATTCTCCGGGGGAGTAAATTCCCCAACGAAACAAGGTCACCTACTATTCCATTGGTTGCTGTTGGTCCGCCCCGCTCTCCTGACTGTGATCCCCTCTGCTCTACCTGTGCTTAACCATGTGTATTAGACAACATGGCTCGTAACTGGTACGAACGGCATGCTTGCTGTCACCCCACTCATAATCGAAGTGGCTATTGGGCCGAGTGAGATTAGTGAACGTGCGTAGGAGATCTCGTCGATACCACCATCACGCGATCACTGAGTGTGTGAGATCAGACAACGTTGGCACTGTACAAATCACCCCGATCCTATGCGTTTTTCTTCAACTGTTTAGATCGCGCTGGCCCCTCTCTTCCTTTCCTACATTATTCGATTCACCATGGTTTTATAACATTGAGACCCTGCTACAAGCCACCACCGGTGTGTTGCTGTTGGTGATGCTATCTGGAAATCTTGTCCCCCTGTCGGGAATTCACTTGCCCACGCTGTCTATCTGTTGCATACCTCTCATTACTCGTGATCTTAAGACAATAAAGCGCCGATGCAAATACGTCTTCTGCGACGTTTTTGACTCACTTGCTACAATAGTGATCGATCACACACACTCACACTATACACGTTAGCTAGAGGTGGGAAACACCTCAGCTACTGTGCCGCAATACCTAAAAGGAAAGAAGGGAATAAAATGCTACAGGTGCAAGCCAGCTGAGCTACCGGCAACGGATAAGCATCGTTCCGGTAAGCTACCAGCCGGCTACTGTGCATCGAAAAAAATTACTATGCAAAATTATATAAGGCTAAATAATGAGATCGTGGTTGGAGGGGGAGGCTAAGTGGGGAGGGGTGGGACAAAGAAACTCACAGCACGAACGCTACTGAGGTCGACTCCTAGCCATATCAACAAGTGTATCCAGCCAAACATGTTCATCGTCTTTCGGACCCCAACCAGGGAGCCGAGACGCTCCAACTGTGGCCAGCTTCGAAGTGAGGGCCTTCATTCCTCTCGACCAAGTCATCGCTTGGCCACCTCTCCTTTTCTTCCATCCACATCCCCGGTGCGCAAACAACGCACGTCGTGGGAGTCGGTAGGCTGGTATGCGTAACACGTGGCTGAGCCATCGGAGTCTGGTGCGTGAAATAACGGCGCTGAGCGGTTCAGTTCCTTTTCCTGTGCCGTAAAAAAGGCATCGAACACGCTCGTTGCTCACGCGGTGTTCCCACCAGATGTGAGCTAAATTGCGAAGGCACCGGTGGTCGAACGTAACTAGCCTCTTTATGTCCGCCGATCTTAGGGGCCAGGTTTCGCAACCGTACAGTAAGGTCGAACGTACCGCTGCATTGTACACTCTACCCTTCAGAGCGAGAGTAATGTCGCGCCGCCGCCATAGGTGGCGAAGGTTAGCAAAAGCACTTCGAGCTTTTGCTATACGGTTCGTGATCTCGTCTTCGATCCCAAAAGTGCTGATACAACTTCCCAGGTAGTTGAATTATTGAACGATTTCTAGCTGATCCCCACCAATGGTCAGCGCAGGAGGCGGTCCAGGTCAATCTTGGAGGAAAGCTTTGCACTTCGAGGGTGCGAAGCAAAGCCCGAAGTGACGGACAGCTAGTGCTAATCTGTCCAGTGCCTCTTGGACCGTCTGGAAGCTGTCACAGATTAGGGCAATAACGTCAGCATACTCCAAGTCAAGAGGTCGTTCTCCTGGGAGCAAATCCGCACCTTCAAAGTCGTGTCCTGTGAACGCGATTTTCAATAGCGAAGTTGAAGAGGAAAGGTGACAGCGGGCATCCTTGTCTCACACCGCTGGAGATATTAAAGGGCGACGACAGCTTGCCGTAAGTCCTCACTCTGCCTGAGCTACGAGCGTATAATGATCGGATAATATTTACATATTTCTCAGGTACACCTTTCCTGAGTAGACAGTCCCAAAGTGCACGTCTATCCACCGAATCGAATTCGCCTTTGATATCGAGGAACACGACAACGGTGGGCCGCCAATATGTGTGACGGTGCTCCAACAACTGACGCAAAGTGAAGATGTGGTCAATGCAGCCACGACCTCGACGAAACCCGGCTTGCTATTCACGAATCTGGCTTTCACGAGTGCCAGTCAGTCTGTGAAGGATGACAGAGGCAAGCAATTTGGAGGCGATGGAGATCAGACTGATTCCTCTATGGTTGCCGCATTCCGATCGTGAGCCTCCCTTGAAATTGGGACTATGACGGAGCGGCTCCAGTCGGTTGGGACAGTTTCCTGCTCCCACAGTTTCACTAGTAACTCGTATAAATCATCCACAAGAGCAGGTCCCCCGAATTTGAAGGGTGCTGGAGGTAGATCATCTGGTCCCGCGGCTTTATTTAACTTCAACAGTCCGATCTCACGTTCGACTTCTGAGCGAGAGGGTGGATCCAAAGGGACAGCCCAGGGAGCGGGCGATCAGTGGCCGGCGAGAAATCTAACAATCCCGACCGATTAAATTGCCTTTCAAAGTGCTCAGCCCAACGCTGCAAGCGTTTTGACAAGTTGTGGATAGGCTGTCCACTCTCGTCACGTATAGTTTCACTAACACCAGGTCTTCTGCTGCCCGTTTCCCGTATCAGCCGAAATAACTTACGATGGTTACCAAGGGCAGCGGCCATTTCCATCTCTGATGCACGATGAGACCACCAGGATTCGCGGTCTCTCTTCAGGCTAGCACGGAGTTTTGCCCGGAGCTCTTTGCGAGTTTCATTGTGTTCGCTTCCAGCCGGAATATGCCGGCGAGCATCGATAAGTTCCAGAGACTGCGAAGAGACCCAATGTCCATGTTGGCGATTAGACTTACCACATGAGGATTTTCCTGCTGCTAGTAAGGACTGGTGAATATGAGACCAATGAGCTTCAACTGCATCCAGTGAGCGCTTACTCCACTCGCATGACAGCGTACTTTGATAGGCATTCAGAACAGCTGGTTTCGCCAGTTGGCTGGTGTCAATGCGGTCACAACGTCGTCTTGGGCGTCCGCCAAAACGCATCCGCAGGTCAGCACATACAAATGCATGGTCAGTTTCTACACGTGTGCTCCAAATCAAGCGACAGTTCTGGACGCAGCCTCTCCATCGGTAACTTATCGCAATGTGATCGATTTGCGTCCATAGTTGTTTCGAGGCTGGTAGGCGCCAAGTCACCCTCCGGCGGGTGCTGTGTCGGAAATTAGTGCTCTCAAGAAATAAGCGAGCATCTTCACACAAATGAAGTAACCGCTCACGGTTATCATTACGGGAGCCTACACCATGTTGGCCGCCCAGATGCATTTCATCAGTGGACAACGTTCCAACTTGAGGGTTCAGATCCCCAGCCAGCACAACAGTGTCCGAGCTTCTTCTGTGGCGAAGGAGCTCGTTCAATTGGCGATAGAAGTCGCTAGAGTTTGTGAGTGCATAGGCAGCGATGACGAATAGACAC